ACTGAAAGCCAGATGAGCCGAGGAAGCAGCATCGTTCCCTCTCTGACCCCTCTGCCACATACAGCCCCACAATGCAGCAATGTGAGTTGCCCCGTCCTGGCAAATACCTAAGTCTCTGACCCTTACAATGTAACAAGTAGGCTGAGACAAAAGAAATATGGCCCAAATGAAAGCACAGATAAAAACTCCAAAAACAGAACTAAGCCACAGAGAGACAGCCAACCTAACAGTTGCAGAGTTCAAAATGCTGGTAATTAGGAAACTCACAGACATGGTTGAGTATGGCTGCAAAATGGAGGAAAAAGTGAAAGCTATGCAAAGTGGTATGAAGAAAGATATACAGGGAACAGTGAAGGGAAGGAAACTGGGACTCAAATAAATGATTTGGAGCAGAAGCAGGATATAAACATTCAGTCAGAACAGAATGAAGAAACAAGAATTCAAAAAAAATGAGGAGAGGCTTAGGAACCTCTGGGACAACTTTAAACATTCCAACATCTGAATCATAGGGGGGGCAGGGGGGAGGAGGGGGAGGGGGAGGGGAGGGGAGGAGGAGGAGAGCAAGACATTGAAAACTTGTTTGAAAAAATAACTGAAGGAGAACTTCCCCAATCTGGCCAAGGAAATAGACTTCCAGGAGATCCAGGAAGCTCAGAGAGTCCCAAAGAAGCTGGAACCAAGGAAGCACACACCAAAGCACATCATAATTCCATTACCAAGAGTAAAGACAAGGAGAGAATCTTAAAAGCAGCAAAAGAAAAGGAGAGAGTTACCTACAAAGGAGTTCCCATAAGACTATCAGCTGATTTCTCAAAAGAAACCTTGCAGGCAAGAAGGCGCTGGCAAGAAGTATTCAAAGTCATGAAAGGGAAGGACCTACATCCAAGATCACGCTATCCAGTAAAGCTATCATTGAGAATGTAAGGGCAGGTAAAGTGCTTCCCAGATAAGGTGATGTTAAAGGAGTACAGTATCACCAAGCTCATATTATATGAAATGTTAAAGGGACTTATCTAAAAAAAAAGATGATCAAAACTATGAATACTGAAATGACAACAAACTCATAACTATCAACAGATGAACCTAAACAAAAACAAAAACAAACTAAGCAAACAACTAGAACAGGACCGGAATTTCAGAAATGGAGATCACATGGAGGGTTATCAGTGGGGAGGGGGTGGGGGGAAAATGGGGGAAAAGGTATAGGGAACAAGAAGCATAAATGATAGGTACAAAGTAGACAGGGGGAGGAAGAAAAAATAGTAAAAAGTAAAAAAAAGGGGAATAAAATAAATAATGGCTAACAAGTCCACAGCATAAGGAAAAGAACCACCAATGTGGGAACTGCCAATAAAAATGTTCTTTCTCTTTGGAGCTAGCTAACCAACTCAAATGTTCCTACTGAACAACCGTGGGCAGACTACTGAAGTGAACAGTGTCACATCTTCCCAAACGCAAGGCCACCACTTATCTGTAACAGATACTTAATTATTAGGACATTCCTTTTGGTTTGACGAGGTTCAGGATTATTCTAAAAAACTAGACTATTCTATTGCTGTACTAAAGAATTTTCTGTACAAATGGGCCAACAGCCCCTTTCTTCAGGAAAACTTATTGTAGATTCAGATTCACCTACATGCATGTTTTGGTCTCTTTTGCACATTGTGTTGCCCTTGTATTTCTTCTTCATTTCAAATTTTCTCGTTATAATAAACAAGTCCTTTTATTTATTGAATTATCAATAATTAAACAATATAAATATTTAAAATATGATGGGTCCTGCCATGATTATAGAGTGTGGAATCCTGCTCTCATTGGTAATAGCCAAAAGTAAGATATTGTCTTTCTCCTTTTAAATTTTCCATAAATAATTTTGTTTTCCTACAAATCATCACCAGAAAATACTTATACAAAATAATAATACCTGCTATTAAGTGTTCCCTGTGCTAGGCACAGTTCTCAATTCTACATATTAATGATTTTTGTTTTATTGCCATGAAAACTTTATGAAGCAGGAATAATTATTATTACCATTTAAAAATGAGAAGACTGAGTCAGAGAGAGATTAAATGACTTGATGAAGTCACAGAGCTCATATATGACGGAGTTAGAATTCAGACTCTTATAGGAAGTAAGCTCTCAGTAGTTGCCATAAGTCATCAGAAGCATCAGAAGCAGGTATCATGGAGAACTACTTGGAGGGAGTAAACTCCTTACAAATTGACTTTGGAATGAAGTAAATGAAAAATTCCTGGGCAGATGATTAGCAAACTTGTTCAATATATGGAGTGGAGTCCCAACTATAGCAGAAAAATGTCTATTCCTTTGGTTAACTGCATACTGAAAAGGAATAGAAAGTTCACTGTATTAGAACCCACAACATGTTATTATTCACAGTGTTTTGTGTATATTCTGCTTAGGTTAACTGTACAGTTTTCAACTGAGGTTTTAGGATTGATTACTTTATATTTATTTGTACGGAAAACTTAAATCTACATTTAAGAAAAATAGGGGTTTTAATTTACTGCTGTAGATGAAAAGAGTAGAACAACTGTTGCTCCCCATGCTTGATGGAGAATTATGTGGGTTGTTTCACAGGGTATTTCAGACAGATCATTTGTTAAAAACCACCACTGTCTCAACAGATTAGGGATAGAGGATTAGGACAAAGTGCTGAGGTAATTTATTAACAGGAAGGTATTAAACAACCATGGTAAAATTGAAAATAAAAGACAAAAACAAGGGGAAATTTAAATTCAAATTAAAGGAAGGACTATTTTAAAAATTTAAGTTGATAAGAATACCATGATGCCACAACCATAAATCCTGAACAGTTGAAGAATGTGATATGTGATGTCAGAGTCAGGTTTTTACACTTCATTTTTAGAACTTTTGTTAATGTTTATTAAATTTCTATGTTACTTACATAAAATTCTTTATATATTTTAATTACTTATCCCATGCCTTATTGTATAAGTGCTTGATCCTACCAAAAATAGTTTTACTAATCATAGTATTTTTCAGAAATGTAATCTCCAACCTAAGTTGGCAAGGGAAGTTCATAATAAAGTTTAGTACTTTGATGCAAAAGACAAATTACACACAACTCCCTTTGCACGGTTTAAAGTCAAGCATTCTTTAAAAAAAAATATTTCATATTTTTTCAAAGTACTAATAATACAGGAAAATTCTTATACAAATTCACCACTATCTTGCTATAGTCATTTGAACTGAGTGGGAAAGATTTGACAAGTGAAGGCAAGATATTGATATCTAGGAAGACAGAACAAACAACACACACACACACACACACACACACACACACACACACACACACACACAGTTCCCTTAGCAGTACCAGTGTCTGCTTTAAAAAAAAAAACAACACACACATATGACACCTTGTTTTCCCCCAAATTATATCCACCTTTCTTCTATTTTCTTAATTCTTTTAAGCCTTTCTCAACTCCATCTTCTACCATGTTCTAGGAATGGTTTCCAGACCTCTTCAAATCAAATGATTTTATTCTTTATCACCTAAGAATTATCTCCAGTACTCCATCTCTAAAGTACCAAGCTTTGAATTTTACTACCAACGTCTTATACCTCTTTCATTAACTTGCTCCTAGAAGTTTATTTGCAAATTTTTTTTTCTCATGATGATACTAAGAACCCTAACTTCTCTGTATTCCCCCAGCATATCAATCTATTTCTGCTTCAAGTAATCATCACTTCCAACACCACATCATCTGTAATGCTTTGGTAAGAGGTTAGAATCTGTGAACCTTGCACTGTGGCCTAATAATCCACAAGCACAGGGGACACCATGACATGTGCTCAATTCTTAGGTGCCGTCATGATATCATAATGATGTACCATGAAAATTCACACTAAGGTATCAAGGCAAGATCCTCTGCTACCCTCTAATTCTGGTATTTAACATTTATCGATACTTCGAAGTAGCAAAAAAGATACTTCGAATGTTAGCTTAAAGCACTAGCTGGGCTGAGAAAAGTTTGTTTCCATTATGTCAGAGAGATTGCATATTATGCACTAATAGAAAGTGAGCAAGTGTTATGTGAGGTAAAAATTAATAGAGGAAGAACGCAGAAGAGGGACCACGGCTAAAAATCTGTGACAGAGATAAGAAGCTAGCATTATGAAGGAGAAAGAGTATCTCCTCTGAGAGAGAAGACAAAAACCAACAACAAAAACAGATAACTAATGAGGTAAAGGTAACTAAGGGATCCCAGGATAGACTTGGCTTCAGTAAAATGAGAATAAGATAATTAGTAAGGGTGAGGGTTGGGAATAGTAAAGGAGACAGTTCAACTGGACTGTCAAAGGAGATATGCTTATTTTAAAGAGAAAGATACCAGAATTTTTCAAAGTCACAGAGAAGAAAAAGAAGCATCTATTATGTACTACCAGATGTATATATGGTTTGCAACAGATTTTTATCTCAGGAAGCCACAAGATGTGGGGCAATTAGGAAAATAATGTACAGCAGAATTTTGCTAAAAGTAACAATTTTGTAAAAATTGGTGAGTATGGCAAAACGTTAATTGCTAAATATGGGAGACAGGTATATGAGGGTTTATAATGTGAGTCTCTCTACTTGTGCATAACTTTGGAAATGCTTATAATAAAAAAAATTCTTTAAAAATTGCTTAGCTATCATATGACCCTCAAGACCAAGAGTTATCTCAATAAGCTCAACAATTAGCCAAAACGTTCCAGAAGTTTTCAGAACTTTTAGAGATGCAACTGGATACAAATACATATACTCTAGAGGACTTTAAAATTCAATGAAGAGGAATAAAAAATAATTCTATTTGACCAGGATTGGTCACTAATTTATTCTGGGGAGTGAGAAATCCAAGTCAGCAGTAAAAAGGAGCTAAGTGTGTGAGAGCTAATAAACAGGTCCAGAAGAAGAAAGAAATGAAAAAAGTACTGCTATTAAGCACATGTATAAAGAGTAAGATTAAAACACTTACTTCATCTCCAGGACTTCCTCTAGGTGTTTCCTTCTTTCTGCCCGAAGATTGGTCAAATGAGTTTCCTTTTCTGCCAGAGACTGTTGAGTAGAGGACAGCTTTGCCTTCATGGACTCTAGTTCCTGCTTTACTTTTTCCATGGCCATCAGTAACTCCTCCACCTGTCAGAAGTAAGGGAAAGAGACAAACTGAACCTCTTGATCAGTTACAGTCAGAGGAAACTGTAACTGGGTCCAAAGAACTGAGTACACACACATGTCAAAACTTCTGTACACTGTCTGGATCAGACATATATATCAATAAGACACAGCAAAAAATGCAGTAAATTTCTGATCATCCCTCCACTATAATTCTTTTCAGTTTTGGTCAAATAGAACTTCTCTTTCTTTTTGATAAATGCAAGGACATATAAGTTCAGGAGGAACCCTTGGCCATACACAGTCCCTTTTAAGAAATTTATTTAGAAATGGCTCAGAAATTTCCATGGAAATAACAATATAACACAGGAAAACATATAAAGAACAAAATTGTAATTAATTTTTATAGAGGAATTTTGGGAAATGAAACAAACATGACAAATAACAGATTCAGTATAAACATAGATGATTTTTCTGTTTGCACCATTAAAAAGAATTTAAAAAAACATCTAGAATGCAATTAGATAATTTCTTGCTCTAAAGTCAGGAGATTTTTTTAAGAAAGGCAGGAATAAAAAACATATATGATTAGATAGGGTGGAGAGAGAATGCGTTAAGTAAAAAGACCTGGAAAAACACTGAGGAGACAAAAATAGAATGCTAAAACACGAAAAACTAAGAGGTAGTTATGTACCCTATAGTCATTTCCATTTACTCTGAGTGGATCCCAAATCAGATTTAAATAAACACGTTCATTCTAATTCAGAAGCAGAAAATAATGCTGCTAAAATATGTTAACAAAAAGTAACCTCGATGAGGTAATGAACCAAACAATTGCACCAACCATGAGTTTTTCAGGTTGCTGCTTACCAAGAAATAATTTTGGTGACAATAAACCTTTGAGAGGTAGAGGTAAGTGGAGGCAGAGATAGAGGGTCTGTCATTGATTGACTCCTACATAAAGCCAATTTGCATAACAGTAAAACAGAGCAGTCTGGAGACACAACTGCAGCATAACAAACCAGAGTTGCTGTTAACCTAATCAATGTCTCCGTGTTGATTGGTAACAGCTGCTGAACACTGATAATAAACAGATACATCTTGGTTTTTGGCACCTGAATTACTTTATTTTGTTTATCTTTTCAGAAGTGATCAAGTTAATGTTCTAGGCTGATAGCACCTTCAGTCCTAGCTGCTGTGTGAATATGTATTACCCAGATCTCAGCTATGTAGTCACATTAGCTGTATATGTATATGTATGTGTATGTGTATGTGTATGTGTGTGTATGTGTATGTGTGTGTGTGTATATTACTGTCTGTCCCCTTGAAACTGCCAATAGCGATGATTTAATTTTAACAGTTTAATTCATATAAAATCTTATCTAAAACTGAATTGAACTGCTCTGCAAAGGTATGTTCTTATGACACAAAATCAGTAATGGATAGTATCACTTATAAGAACTCTAATAAATGTGGGATGTGTCCATCTTTTATGAACTTATCTTAAAAATATGTCAAAATATCTCCCTCCCATCCTGTCTTTCACTACCCTAGGCAAGATGTGCTATCAATTTCTTATGTAACCTGGAGGAATATTTTGTACATATATAAGCAAGCATGTATAAATAACCTATTTCTCCCTTCTACACAAAAAGAAGCCCATTCTACACATATATAATATCTAAAGTTTTGGGTAAACATTTTACTGAAATATAAATACAAAAAAATACATAAATAATAAATGTACAACTTGAAGAATTTTCTCAAAACAAATACATATATGTAATCAACACAGACCAATAAACAGTACATGATCCAGTACCCCAGGAACGCCCCACATATCCTCTTTCCAGATAAAGAGTAGTTATTATTCTAATACTCCAGGGTAGTCTTGCCTATTTGTTTTAACTTTGTACAAATGAAATTACATAGTATAAAATTCTTTTCAGGGTTATGCCTGTGAGATTCATCCATGTTGTTGGGTATAATTATAGTTCTATAATTCTAATAACTGCATGATATTTCCAACTTTTATACTGCCTTCAATAGTAGATTGAATTAGTGGTCTCAATTAAATTATTCCTCTGTAGTACTAATAGATGTCCACACCACTGTCATGGCCTCATGATGGACAAAATACCCTAAATTTTGGCTTAGCTATGTGACTTGCTTTGAGCAATGGGATATTAGCAGATCAGAGAGAAGACGAGGCTCGCAATATGTGTGATTAGGTTGCATTTCCACCATTGCAAAAAAAATACTGAGTAGCTATTGCCTCTCAGGTGGGTCCTAGAATGAGCCGTGAGGATCACAGCTACCCTAGTCAGCAACCAAAGCACAGCCAAACATGCTAACCTTCCAATCTATGTGAATGAGAAATAAATGTTTATTTTATATATAGACACACACACATATATATGCATATATATAGCATATATGTGTGTGTGTCTATATATATTTATATTTACATATTCTCCAGAGAAAGAGAACCAAAAAGATATATCCTGAATACAGTGTATGTGTATGTGCCTACACATACAGTGCACAGATACACTGCATTCACTATACATCCTGTTGGTTCTGTTTCTCAGGAGAACCCTGATGAAAGAAAGAAAAGAAAGAAAGAAAAGAAAGAAAAGAAAGAAAAGAAAGAAAGAAAGAAAAATACACTAATGTTATACTAATATAATTATATTAATGTTATTACAATAAGTTAATATATAAAATATATTTTATAAGGAATTACATGTACTACATAAATATATAAAATATACTTTAATAATATGATTATGGAGGTTGACAAATGCCACGATCTGCAGAGTGAGTAGGTAAGCTCGAAACCCAAGGGAGCCAATGGTGTCATTCCAGTCCAAAGACTGGCAGGCGCAAGGCCCAGGAAGAGCCAATGTTTCAGGTCAAGTCCAAAGGCAGGCAAAAACTGGTGTCCCCGTTTGAACACAATCAGTCAGGATTTACTCTTACTCAGGAGAGGGGAATCATTTTTGTTCTATTCAGGCTTTCAACTGACTGGAGACTGAATAAAACAGGATGAGAGTCATCCACATTAGGAAGAGCAATCTGCTTCATTCAAGTCTGTGGATTTAAATGTTAATCTCACCCAAAGGCATCCTCACAAAAACACCCAGAACAGAGTTTGACTAGATATCTGGGCACCTGCGTGGTCCAGTCAAGTTGTCAAATAAAATTAACCATCACAATTCGCTATGTTCTTTTGTGATTGTAATACAATATTTGACTGAGAAGCTTTCAAAGAGTTTTAAGTATTATATTTCACATTTAGTCTTTAATCCACCTGGAAATGATTGTTGCTCATGGTGTGAGGTAGAGGTACAGTTTCAGTTTTCCCCACAGGGATATCCAATGTCTCGATACCATTTATTGAAAAGCCATTCTATCATCACCTTTGACATTTATCAATTTTGTTTCTGTACTTTTCTATTATGGTCTACTGGTTTGCCTAGTCCTGCACCAAAATCACACTGTCTTAATTGTTACAGCTTTATAAGGCTTGATATCTAAGATGCTTCTCTTAGCTGTTCTTGAATTTCTACAAAAAATATTTGTGTCTATCATGTTCCAGGCACTGTTCTAGAACAGTTCATGCAAAAGATATAGTTAGGACTTCAATATCTTTCAAAAATTTGTATAATTTTCTCCCTCAGCCGCTAATATTCTAATGATTTATTCTTAAGCACTTCATATGCTTTTTAAGTGTTATAGTAAATAATAACATTTTAAAAAAATTTTGTTTGGTGCAGATTAAAGAAGTGCAACTGATTTCTGTATATTGATGTTGCATCTAGTTGCCTTCTTAAATACTCTTATTTATTTATAGATTTTTTTTAATTTACTACACAGACAACCATAATATATCTGAATGATAGTTTTTTCTCTTTCTTTCCAATTTTTATAATATGTACCACTTTTATCTGACTTACTGCACAGCCTAAAATGATGATAGCATGAACTCTATTTCTGATTTGAAAGTAATGCTTAATAGCTTTATTCATAAATAAGTCCTTTATCAGGTTAAGGAAATGCCTTCTATCAGTAGCCAGTTAAGAATTTTTTAAATTATAGATTAATATAAATTTTTGTGCATATCATGAGATAATCATATGACTTTTCTCATATCATCTTTTGCTATGTTACATCATACTAGTAACTTACAACTTACTAGTCTTTTAATGATACCAATCTTAAAATCCTGGGATGAGCTAAACTTAAGAATATTTTTCTTTTTTATATGCATTCAGTTTTCTTAACTCTCACCAGAGGATATGTTTATTGATTTTTTATTTTTAAAGATTTATTTATTTTTAGAGAGAGAAAAGGCAGGGAGAAAGAGAGGGAGAGAAACATCAATGTCAGAGAGAAACATGAATTGATTGCTTCTTTCTTGCAGGTGCCCCAACCAGGAACTGAATTCACAACTCAGGCATGGGCCCTGACTGGGAATCGAACTGGTGACCTTTTGCTTTGCAGGACTATACTGAACCAACTGAGTCACAATGGTCAGGGCTACTGATTTCTTTTTATATAAGAGTGAGAGGAGCGGGGGGGATAAGGAGGGAGGAAGGGAGCGGAGGGTGGGAGGGGGGAGAGAGAGAGAAAGAGAGAGAGCGAGTGAAAGAAATATCTATATAGAGAGAAACACCGATTAGTTCCCTCCGGTATGTGCCCCAACCAGGATAAAAGCCACAACCTTTTTGTGTATGAGATGACGCTCTAACCAACTGAGTTATCTGGTCAGGGCAACACACACTAAGTCTTGATTGGCAATATTTTGTTTACAAATTTTGCATTTATATTCACAGTTGAGACAGACCTAAACCTTTCCTCTCCTCTATTAACTTTGCCAAGTTTTGATATGCAGTTACACTAGTCTTATAAAATACATTGTTGATTACGTGTTCCCTCTATTTTATTTTCTGAAATTGTTTGTTAGACTAAAATTATTTGTTCCTTGTATGTTTATTAAAAATCACCCTGGGCTTGAAGTT